CTGATCTGGCCCGGGGTTGTCTGTTTGAGTACTATGTACCACTTAGCTCACCTTGTGGTCCGCGTCTTCCCAAGCCGTCTGGGTGCTGGCGTCTGGCAGCAGCACGGGGGCCCTCCTGGTTTCTCCGTTTAACATGGAATGGAGATGCTATGTGCAGGCTGGAGGTGTGGAGGAGTCACAGTTTTGCCTCTTCTCAGTGGTTTTTCCTGTATGGTGTATCTCCAGCGTCTCTCCAAGACTTTACTTTAGGAGGCACACTTTCTGCTTCCTCCTTCTAGCCTCCATCTTGGAATTCCTTCCCTTAGACATTCTTGTGCACTCTGCCTGACATACCCCATGCCCACAAAGGCTCAGCTGAAAGGCTGCCTCACCCACTGAATCCTCAGCTCCCCTCCCCCCACTGACAATGAAACTGAAACAGTCGAGTGGCTCAGTGTTTCTCAACCATGCCTACACTAGGGACTTCTTTTTAAAATGTCCATGTCTAGGCTCAAAGTAGAATCTTTCCTGTGTGACTCATACACTCAGACAGGGTTGAGAACTCTGGAAACAGACTCCTGCAACTCCAAGGTTCCAAGACTATAAGTTACGCAAAGCTTCTGTCTGTGTGGAATGGGTCAGAGATACAAGGCCTCTGCAAGCCCTGCCTGGCATCCATGATGCCCAAGTCCTCTGCCCCACTGGAGGGACCTCTCTGGAGCAACCCCCTCAGGTCTGGGATTAAAGGATGCCTGGGAGCTGCCTCCCTCTGGACTGGTCTGAGGATTGAGGGTTTCAAGACCCTCTATGTGTGCCTCGGGTAAAGAATTTTGTGTGTAACTTAATGCTGAGAACTGGGGCTGGGACTTACAGACTGAACAGTCCCAAGTCCCACTCATATAGTATACCCATCATGTAGGAGGTGCTCAGGACACCCACACACCCACTCAGGAACCTTGCTAACCTGCACACACTGTCCACAGCATTCTGGCTTGTGTTCAAAATGAAGGACATTGGTTGGGAAAAGAACTGCAGAATCCACATGTGATCCAAAGGCAGGGCAGCCAGGAGGCAGCTTATGCAAGCTTGTCACTGCTAAGAGTCAGTTGCAGGAAGAAATCAGGGGATTCCTGGAGCAGGACAGAAGAAACATCAGATTCCAGGACAGGCCAGGGCCATCTAGCTGCCAACAAAGGTGCTATTCACATGAGCTGTCTTTCTGTTGTAGACTGTGACAAATACCTTCCGGACATCCAACATCCAGGTCCAGAGCCAGGACCAGAGGCTGCTGACGCTATCGCTGGACAAAGATACCCGGCGTACTTTCAGGGATGTGGTTAGGTAAGCAGGGCCTGCGCCCCTCGGGCTCCAGGCTCCAGTGATAAACCTGAGCCCAGAGTACTTTATCAGAGGCCAGGCACAGCCTGAAGTCAGGCAGGTGTCCCTGGTGGGCATGGCTTAGGCCACTGGCTTATGACTAGAATCCAGGAAGAGGAAGCAAATGGAAAGCTGGCACCAGGAAGAGGTTGAGATTCTTAAGAGCACTCTCAGCCTGCAGCCCTCCTGCCAAACCCCTCTGCTGCCACCAGCCCTCCCACACAGCTACCCTTCTGGGTCATCTGTGCCCAGTTCATGTGACCCTTTCAGGTTTCCCCAGGGGAGGGGTACTTGAGTAAGAAAGGCAGACACAGAGACAACCTGATCCAGGCATCTCCTCCTTCCCAGAGTCCCAGGCTTATCACCTTCTTTCTCCTGACTTTTCTTCTTCTGCATGGCTCCCTCCTCTATACCTTAACACAATGAGTCTACCTTTTAAATTTGCTTGTCCCCTGAGCTGGTCTCTTGCCCACCACAGATTTGAGGTTGATGCCTGCCCAGAGCCATGTGCTGGGGCCCAGAAGTCCAAGACGTCATGGCTCAATTCACATGGGCAAAAGGAAATGGAAAGAACCAAAGCCAAGCCCAAACCTCTTCTGATGCCCATCAACACATTCTCGGGCCTCATCCAGTGAGCCTGCTACCAGGACAGGGGACGATCTGGGTCCAGAGGCAGCAAGCTCAAGAGGAAGGAAACACTACCCCTAACTCCCAACACTCACACCAACAGCCAGAATGAAGGCCTGGCTCCACTGGATGGCTCTTTGACCAGGGGCCAGTGGGCACCTGCGAGCCCAGGTGCGAGGGCACATGATGAAGAAGATCCCACACCAAGGCTGGGGATTACCAGGCAGAGCTAGGATGAACGGGAGCAGGCACATACCACCAGCTTCTCACATGAGTGTCCACACTTGAATTTATCTTCATCTCCCACCTCTCCCATGTCTTGGCCCATGCAAGCTCCTCACTCAGCCCCCATCAGGGGCTGGCAGAGTGGCTCAAACAGAAGAGTGCCTGCCTAGCAAGCATGAGGCTGCTGTCTTGGCCAGTGCGCTACAATGGAGGGGAAGGTAGAAAAAGGTAAAGACTACCGCACCTGCTCCTTCCTGAGTCTGTTCCCCTTCCTGTTCTCAGGCCACTGCTCACCCCATCACCCCACCCACACCGAAGCAGGTGTCTCTCAGTGGAGAGGAGAATGTCAGAGTTAATAAATGCACACTAAAGTGTTACTGCTTTTGTCTAACATCAAGCAATATTTGTATTTTCATAGAAATCAGAGGGCATGACTTAACAGAAGCCACTTAAACCAGGTTATAGTTTTGTGAAATATTACCTGCTGTGTTGTCTCCTTCCCCCTTCCTCTTCTCCTTCTCATGAACTTAGGGACTCTCCTGATCAGCACTGTCCCCAAACAGAGGTGGGAATGCAGGGTAGTTTCCAGAGCAGCCAGAGATTAAAGACAAACCTTACATCCAGGTATAAAATAGGAAAGATCAATGACACAGCACCAGTGTCCCCAACTGCATGAGGAGGAATGGGTTGGGGTGGGGAGTAAGAGAGGAACACAAAATCTTGGGCTTGAGCCCATGCCTATCACCTGGACAAAGTCCAGGGTGAAGATGGAGGTGGTAGAAGAATCTCTTTGAAGTTTGGGGATCCAAGAGTAGAAAGGTAGGCTCTTGACTTTGGCCTCAATGTCCTGAGAGTGGAGCCAAGTACCAAGGCACATTCTCAAAGTGAAAGAAGGATATAAGAAGGGCTGCCTGGGTTTCTTGAATAGATAGCCTAGCCTTCGAGAAAGTCTCTGCATCTCCATGGGGCATGGGAAGCAGGCAAAGGTTTTCACAGGTAATCTGGAAGAAGATGAGCCCAGGGAATCTCAAAAAGTAAAAGGGTATAGCTGTGGGCAGCAGCTTGGAGCTCAGCACCCAAAGGCCAGATGTAGACATGGGCACCAGAGAGACAGCAGCTGGTGAAGTCCCAGTGCAAACCAGCCCATGACAGGTCAAAACCAAGATAGAGATGGATGCTAAGTCCTCCACTGCCCTGACTGCTGCAGGACCTGGACAGGGGAGGGACTAGAGACAGTCCTCAGTGCGGCTGAGGCATCCTGAAATCTGAAATGACTACCAGTACCATTTGAGCTCATCTGAAGGTGGCTGGATTTTCTTTTCGCTGTGTTGGGGAGATGTTAACTGTTTCATATCCATTCGAGCGTTCACAATCATTAGGTCTTTAAGTAAACATTTGCAGAGTTTACCAACTGTTAAGTTTAGGTCAGGGCACTGGCCTCCTCTCCAGCTATCTCTCTACCAGCTTACAGTAGAAGCAAATCTTAAACCAAATTCTGCTACATACGCAGACAGGTGAGCAAGTGACCTTGCTCCATACCAAATGCACAGACAAATTAGGTGGTCTCTAAAAACATGTATTAAAAGTTTACTGAATCGAGGCTAGGGCTGTAGCTCAGTGGCAGAGTGCTTGCCCAGCACATGCAAGGCCCTGGGTTTGATTTAAAAAAACAAGAGAGAGAGAGTTTTCCAAATCAGTGTTTGAACACTGACCATTCCGGCATGAAGTCTATGGCACTCTTCCAAAGGGCTTGGACTGCTAGACTGTCTAGATTCTCATACCCTGTCAAGCGAAAGAGGAAATGCCTCTGGGAGGAGAAACTGTCTCCAGTTCACATGACTTAGACACCACTAAATTCACCTGTAAAACCAATTATGCTGGTCAATGAAGTCACTTCTCTTGACTTAAAATTGTTAAGAGTGCTTGCATTAGTTGCCTCTGGAGTGTGGCTTCTGATTAAATGCTAGCTCAGCACCTCTGAACTGTGTACCCCCAAATAGGGCAGGTGACCACCCTTAGGTGTAAATTAAAACTATCCAGTACAGTTCATACTTTGGGGGGACAGTGAGGGGCTACCAGAATGAAATCTGGATATCCTCAGTTATCAGTCCTTTTGGGAAATTGTCCTTGGCTTAAAAATAAAAAGAGTCACCAAATTCACACCTCTTCCAGGGGCAGCTTGCATACAATGAAACAGTCTTAGAACAAAACTACCTGCCTTCCTGTAGCTTTGGATTCTGATGGAAACACGATAAACAAAGTAAATACAAGAAATATAAACCATGGTGCACTTGATTGTTGTGGAGTGGTAAGGAACTGCAATTTCACCTAGGGTGAATTTCACAAGGGATGACCTCCTTGCGGGGTCATTGATCAGGAGACCTTTCAGTAAAGGCCAGAAGATGAGGTAGGGAACGTGATGGATATCGCTCATTCCGTTCTCTCTCTTACCACCTCCACCCCATCTTGGCCTTGACAGTTTTTCTTGCCTGGAGCAGTCCAGAGATTTAGCCCTGGCTTCTGGGAGCCACGGGGCGGCCAGGGGTCGGACGGAGCCTGTGGCCTAGCTCCGATCGCACCCCGCAAGACCACAGGAAGCTCCCCTCCTGCACCTGGGCACGTCGGGGCGGGTGGGGCCGCAGAGGCCACAGGACGTGGCAGGTGCAATTAGCAGGTGCGCCGGCCCCGCCCTCGCCGCGCCGGCCCCTCGGGGCGGGGCCACTTCCGGGCCGGTGGGGGCGGGGCGGCCGTTGACCCGGTGACCGCGCCGCCGCCGTGGGCCACAGGCGCTGTCGGCCTGGGTCTGAGCCGGGGTCCCCCGCACCTCCTTCCCGGGGACATGGAGCCGCGCCCTCTCCAGCCGCCGCCGCGCCCGCCCTGCGCTCTGCTCCGCCGTCCACCGGCCCGGATCTGACCGAGCCTGGCAGCCATGAGCGCCAACCCCCAGTGGGACATCAGCAGGGCGCTGGGGGTGGCCAGGCTCTTCCACCTGGTATGCGGGGTCCGGGACGCCTGCGTGACCCCGTTCCTGACCCTCTACCTGAGGCAGCTGGGCTTGGCTGCGCCCTGGGTGGGCATCCTCATGGGAGCCAAACACCTGGTCACCGCCAGCTGGGCTCCCTTCTGTGCCTTCCTGGCCAAAAGCCACCAGAAAAGGAGAGTGCTTGTGATAGGTTTGCTGCTGGGCTCGGCGGGAGCCAGCCTCCTGATGGTGCTGGTTCCACCGCTGGACAGAGATCTGATGTCCCGCTCTTGTAATGCCAGCAGAAGGGTGACCACCACACTCCAGCCACCGGGGTTCACACTAACTGTGACCATCACCTCCGTCCAGGAGTGGACTTCAAAGCACCCAGTAGGGGCGCCCAGCCTCCCAGCCAGGAGAACTGGAGCTGGGGAAGCCTCCGGCTTCAAAAATGGACCCAGTGAAAGTGATCTAGAAATTCTCAGTGGTCTACAGGGCTACTTAGTGGGTGCCATGGAAGGAGCCAGGACCACGTCCCAAGTTCTTTATCCTATCACTTCAGGGACAAAAGATAATTCCTGGGAAAGTGCTTTCAAAGTGGTCGATGCTGCCCTTGCGCTGTTTTCCGGAGACACGGTGCCAGCAAGTCCAGTCAACCTGTCAGTGGCCAAGGAAGAAGGCCAGCCCCTTGACCTCTCCTTGGAAGGGTTGCGATGGACTTTCATCCTCTCCCTGGGCTTCATGGTGTTCTGGGAGCTGCTGACGGCCCCTTTGGAGCAGGTGGCAGATGACAGCCTGTATGAATACCTGGATTTTGTGGACGCCACTGATGGGTACAGAAACTTGTGGATCTGGAGGCTGCTGGGCATGTCTGCAGGCGTGTGTGGCGTCACGGCCCTGGTGGGGCAGCTCGACTGCTTCCTGATGACAAATGGCCCTCAGGGTGTGATGCATTTCTACAGCTATGCGCTGGTCAGCATCCTGGCCTCACTGGTGAGCATTGCCTTTCCTGTTCCCATCTACCAGCGGCAAGAGCTCAGCTATAAAACCATCAAAGCACTCTCTCTCGTAGGGGGGGACCCCCACCTCGTTCTCTTGGCTTTCACTGTCTTTTTGATAGGAGCCATCGCCAGCACTGTACAGAACTTTCTGTTCTGGCACATGAAGGACCACGGCAGTAGTGAGCTGGTCATGGGCTTCTCAGTGGCGCTCAGCTTGCTGGGAGAACTTCTGCTGCATCCTTTCAAAACTGTGTTGCTAAGGAAGCTATCCAGGGTGGGTGCAGTGGGGCTGGGGCTGAGCTGTCTGGCTGGGCAGCTGCTCTACTATTCTTTCCTCTGGAGCTGGTGGTCTGCCCTTCCTGTTCAGATCCTGGGTGCCATCAGCAGTGGGGTTCTGTGGTGGGCCATGGCAGCCTCCATAGAGGACCTGGCCACCCCTGGCACAGAGAGATCTCTGAGTGCCATGTTCCAAAGCCACTTTTATAGGGGTGGCTGCAGCATCGGCAGCTTTGTGGGGGGCTTTGTGGTGATGCGCTTCAGCCTGGCTGTGCTCTACCAGGCCAGCTGTGTGGTCCTGTTGCTCTGGCTGGTCCTCTTTCTGTCCGTCCACCCCAGGCTGCCCAAAAAGAGAAAAATAAACTACTCGAAGCTGCTGGCTGTGGAGGGAAGTGATACCAGCGACTCGGAGCAGGGGTCAGAGCGGGACTGGCTTGTGAAGGCCATGAAGGAGGAGCACTCAGAATGGAAGGGCTGAAAGCAGGTCACCACACACTGATCAGGAAAGGCACTTAATAGATTGGACAGAACACAGTCTTGGAGGACAGAATCCTGCCCTGGACAGCAGGGAACCTGGGGGAAGAGAAGCCATGTCTACACTAAGGACCCAACAGGATCATCTCTTGGCATGATTTTCTTTTGTAGTAAAAGGAGATTTGACCCTTTTTTTCCCCCATTCAATCTTTTTAAAATAATGGAGGAAAATACATTTGCTTAAAAAAAATCTTTTGCATTTGTTGCATTTTGACCTAGGTTTGTGAGAGCTTTAACTGTACTGGTTGGTGCTGTTGGACCCAGGAATGGATGAAGTGATACATCAAATTGGCAGTGCCAAGAAGGCAAGGGACTTGCAGGATGTAGTTGGCAGAGAGGGTGGCTGACCTGGATGAGACCTGGGCATTCCCAGGGATCATAGAGCAGTAGCCTGGTCCTATGAAAGCTGGGTCAGGAGCAGGTAAGAGTGGCACTGGATACTGAAACACCTGTGTGTGTGTGTGTGTGTGTGTGTGTGTGTGTGTGTGTGTGTGGTATAGGTGGTACTGGGATTTGAACTCAGGGCTTCCAACTTGCTAGGCAGGCGCTCACCCACTTGAGCCACTTCTGCAGTCCTTTTTACTCTGGTTATCTGGAGATAGGGTGTCACTTTTTGCCCAGGCAGGCCCAGACTGCCATCCTCCTATTTTACCCTTCTTGCTATTGCTGGGATGATAGGTGCACACACCATGCCTAGATTATTGTTTGAGATGGAGTCATGTTAACTTTTTGCCAGGACTGGCCTAGAACCTCAACCCTCCCTATCTCCACCTCCTGAGTACCTGGGATTACAGGCATGAGTCACTACACCTAGCTAAATAGTTGTCTTTCTCACAGAGATACTTTATAGAAATCCAAAGCCTTCTCTGATCACTGTCTCTATTTTATGTCACCTAATGCTGTCTACCATTACCCTGTGACCCTGTTCCAGAGTAGTTGAACACTGTAAGAATTATAACCCTTTTTTAAGAATCTAAACACTGTCATGGCTGCTCTCCCTTGAAATATACACATCACATTTTTTATGCTCATCCTATTTCATGGGTCGAAAAAAATCCCTACAATCAGGACAATACCAAAACATTTACTGGCCTCAGATTAATTAAACGTCTGCTCACTTGAGACAGATTATTCTGCTAAATCTTGCCAATAGCCCCAAATTGAAACTGCTTTTCTAATTTTGTCTTCCCTTTACCCCACAAGCAGTAATTTTGCTCTCACAGACTTCCCTAGTGCTCTTCATCTGTGTTTGTGCCTTGTTCAGCCCTCTAGGTTCTTGTGTTCATGCCAGTGATGACTGGGTGAGGCAGACAGAAATCAGAGGCTGGGGTGGAGGGGAGTTCAAGGTGAAGGCTATGGGGAGAACTTCAGGACACACAGAAATACTGGGGTCCAAGCTCATCATTCAGCCACAGTCATTGGTTGAGGTCGAGCGTGTGGAATCAAAGTAATGCCCAATGGAAACTTCCTTGGAATATGGTGCCAACGTCACCCACTCTATTTGTGCAGAGGTGAAACTTCGAACTGCGTTTTGCTTCTTTGATGAAGCCTAGCTGGGAACAAAGCTGACAATTTAGAAGTCAAGGTCTAACTTAAGACAGATACACAAACAGAATGAGACAGGACGAGCTGCATGTTCAAACAGTGTTTCAGGGGGTATGGGGCAGGCATGATGGCTGGGGGCAGAGATGCTCAGAAAAACCCGCGTGGGGATTTGGAAGCAAACCTGCATATTGAAGGAAGCAAGGGCCGGGCCATAAAGACCTTGACCTTGAGTCTTTTTTTTTTTTTTAATTTATTTATTTTTTTTCATTTTTCTTTTATTATTCATATGTGCATACAAGGCTTGGTTCATTTCTCCCCCCTGCCCCCACCCCCTCCCTTACCACCCACTCCACCCCCTCCCGCTCCCCCCCTCAATACCCAGCAGAAACTATTTTGCCCTTATCTCTAATTTTGTTGTAGAGAGAGTATAAGCAATAATAGGAAGGAACAAGGGGTTTTGCTGGTTGAGATAAAGATAGCTATACAGGGCATTGACTCACATTGATTTCCTGTGCGTGGGTGTTACCTTCTAGGTTAATTCTTTTTGATCTCACCTTTTCTCTAGTACCTGGTCCCCTTTTCCTATTGGCCTCAGTTGCTTTAAGGTATCTGCTTTAGTTTCTCTGCATTAAGGGCAACAAATGCTAGCTAGTTTTTTAGGTGTCTTACCTATCCTCACCCCTCCTTGTGTGCTCTCGCTTTTATCATGTGCTCATAGTCCAATCCCCTTGTTGTGTTTGCCCTTGATCTAATGTCCACATATGAGGGAGAACATACGATTTTTGGTCTTTTGGCCAGGCTAACCTCACTCAGAATGATGTTCTCCAATTCCATCCATTTACCAGCGAATGATAACATTTCGTTCTTCTTCATGGCTGCATAAAATTCCATTGTGTATAGATACCACATTTTCTTAATCCATTCGTCAGTGCTGGGGCATCTTGGCTGTTTCCATAACTTGGCTATTGTGAATAGTGCCGCAATAAACATGGATGTGCAGGTGCCTCTGGAGTAACAGTCTTTTGGGTATATCCCCAAGAGTGGTATTGCTGGATCAAATGGTAGATCGATGTCCAGCTTTTTAAGTAGCCTCCAAATTTTTTTCCAGAGTGGTTGTACTAGTCTACATTCCCACCAACAGTGTAAGAGGGTTCCTTTTTCCCCGCATCCTCGCCAACACCTGTTGTTGGTGGTGTTGCTGATGATGGCTATTCTAACAGGGGTGAGGTGGAATCTTAGTGTGGTTTTAATTTGCATTTCCTTTATTGCTAGAGATGGTGAGCATTTTTTCATGTGTTTTTGGCCATTTGAATTTCTTCTTTTGAGAAAGTTCTGTTTAGTTCACTGCCCATTTCTTTATTGGTTCATTAGTTTTGGGAGAATTTAGTTTTTTAAGTTCCCTGTATATTCTGGTTATCAGTCCTTTGTCTGATGTATAGTTGGCAAATATTTTCTCCCACTCTGTGGGTGTTCTCTTCAGTTTAGAGACCATTTCTTTTGATGAACAGAAGCTTTTTAGTTTTATGAGGTCCCATTTATCTATGCTATCTCTTAGTTGCTGTGCTGCTGGGGTTTCATTGAGAAAGTTCTTACCTATACCTACTAACTCCAGAGTATTTCCTACTCTTTCTTGTATCAACTTAAGAGTTTGGGGTCTGATATTAAGATCCTTGATCCATTTTGAGTTAATCTTGGTATAGGGTGATATACATGGATCTAGTTTCAGTTTTTTGCAGACTGCTAACCAGTTTTCCCAGCAGTTTTTGTTGAAGAGGCTGCTATTTCTCCATCGTATATTTTTAGCTCCTTTGTCAAAGATAAGTTGCTTATAGTTGTGTGGCTTCATATCTGGATCCTCTATTCTGTTCCACTGGTCTTCATGTCTGTTTTTGTGCCAGTACCATGCTGTTTTTTTGTTATTGCTTTGTAATATAGTTTGAAGTCAGGTATTGTGATACCTCCTGCATTGTTCTTTTGACTGAGTATTGCCTTGGCTATTCGTGGCCTCTTGTGTTTCCATATAAATTTAACAGTAGATTTTTCAATCTCTTTAATGAATGTCATTGGAATTTTGATGGGAATTGCATTAAACATGTAGATTACTTTTGGGAGTATAGACATTTTTACTATGTTGATTCTACCAATCCATGAGCATGGGAGATCTCTCCACTTTCTATAGTCTTCCTCAATCTCTTTCTTCAGAAGTGTATAGTTTTCCTTGTAGAGGTCTTTCACATCTTTTGTTAGGTTTACACCTAGGTATTTGATTTTTTTGAGGCTATTGTAAATGGAATTGTTTTCATACATTCTTTTTCCGTTTGCTCATTGTTAGTGTATAGAAATGCTAATGATTTTTCTATGTTGATTTTATATCCTGCTACCTTGCTATAGCTATTGATGATGTCTAGAAGCTTCTGAGTAGAGTTTTTTGGGTCTTTAAGGTATAGGATCATGTCGTCTGCAAATAGGGATATTTTGACAGTTTCTTTACCTATTTGTATTCCTTTTATTCCTTCTTCTTGCCTAATTGCTCTGGCTAGGAATTCCAGTACTATGTTGAATAGGAGTGGAGATAGTGGGCATCCTTGTCTGGTTCCTGATTTTAGAGGGAATGGTTTCAATTTTTCTCCGTTAAGTATAATGCTGGCTGTAGGTTTGTCATATATAGCTTTTATAATGTTGAGGAACTTTCCTTCTATTCCTAGTTTTCTTAGAGCTTTTATCATGAAATGATGTTGGATCTTATCAAAGGCTTTTTCTGCATCTATTGAGATGATCAAGTGGTTTTTGTCTTTGCTTCTGTTAATGTGGTTTATTACGTTTATTGATTTTCGTATGTTGAACCACCCCTGCATCCCTGGGATGAAGCCTACTGGTCGTGGTGAATAATCTTTTTGATGTGTTGCTGAATTCGGTTTGCCATTATTTTGTTGAGGATTTTTGCATCAATGTTCATTAAGGAGATTGGCCTATAGTTCTCCTTTTTGGAGGTGTCTTTGCCTGGTTTTGGGATAAGTGTAATACTGGCTTCATAAAATGTGTTTGGCAGTTTTCCTTCCCTTTCTATTTCATGGAACAGTTTAAGGAGGGTTGGTATCAGTTCTTCTTTAAAGGTCTGATAGAATTCAGCAGAGAATCCATCAGGTCCTGGACTTTTCTTTTTGGGGAGACTCTTGATTGCTGCTTCAATTTCATTTTGTGTTATAGGTCTATTCAGGTGATTAATTTCCTCTTGGTTCAGTTTTGGATGATCATATGTATCTAGAAATCTGTCCATTTCTTTTAGATTTTCAAATTTATTTGAATATAGGTTCTCAAAGTAGTCTCTGATGATTTCCTGGACTTCCATGGTGTTTGTTGTTATCTCCCCTTTTGCATTCCTGATTCTACTAATTTGGG